CTAAATGTAATATTATTGTCCGAAGTTTTGAACTCTAACTTTTGTTCAGAGTTTATTGAGTTATATATTTTAAGTGGACTTTTGTATTTTGAAAGAGACAAGTGAAAAAGATTATTGTTGGACCAATAAAAAATATTACTCCATTGGAACACCCAAATTACACATTCGAAAACAAGTATAAATCAATTGATCCCATATTTTTTTAAGAATAATTTAAATTATGTTTTCACTTTTATTAGACAACGAAAAAGATTATATTTAAGTCATTTATATAACGATAAAGAAATACCTGAGATTGTGTAACAATAAAAATATATAAACTAATTTTATAACAAATGCTATAGTATCACTTTTAAATCGCAAAATTTAAAAACGGAGAAGGGCCTAAAATGCCCCTCAAGTATTTGAATTGATACAAAATTACCCTTCATCCACCTATCGGCCCTAAAATACCCCTGAGGCCTTGACGTCCACCTTTCGGCTCAAAAATACCCTTATGGCTAACGGATCATACTCATTAGGTAGATGGAGGGTAATATTGTACCAAATCTCATAGTTTAAGGGCATTTTAAGCCCTTTTCTGTTAAAATAATTTGAAATTATTTAATATATAAGCTCACATGATTGACTTGATTTTGAATTTCATAGTAAATTTAAAGTTATAAAAAGGTTAGACATCTACTCTCTACACTTCTCCCTCCCCAACCCTTCACTTCATATCTCTTCCATTTTTTTTTTTCTATTTCGATCTTGTCCACCATTTCGATTAGTCGAGGTAAGTATAGAGTTTAGTTGGATCCCCATTTATGAGTTGGGTTACATTATAATAAATGGGATTGATTTAAAATAGGCCAATAGAAGATATCATGAAATTAATTATTTTTTCAATATTATTTTCAAGTGTATTGGGTCAAAATTCGAATCATAAGTGGTATATAGAAAAATAGAATTTCTAAAAATATCATTTTTATTATTTATTTGAAAATGATTTAAATTTGGACCAATCACATTAAGTAATATAATAAATAAATATTTAATAATTTTACTTTAAAGAATCCATTAAAAATAAGAGCAAATTTGAGTCAAAGGATTAACATCGAGGGTATTTTTGAGCCGAAAGATGGACATCAGGGATATTTTAGGGCCAATAGGTGGATGAAGGGCAATTTTATACCAATTCAAATACTTGAAGGGCATTTTAGACCCTTCAGGTCCTTTTCTCTAAAGTGCGTTACATCATACTATTAGAAGTCCTTCCCGTCCCCCGTCCCCCGTCTCGTCCATCCCTTGTATTAAAGGAGCAATACACAGTCTCAAATTTATGTCTCAAAAAATAAGAATTAATTATTCCTTCCGTTTACTTTTACTTGTTTATATATATTTTTTTTAAATCGCCCAACAAAATTTTTACCAAAAGCACAGATGTTTTGTTGGGCCCGAAGCATGAAAGTGCACTACATCATATTTGAAATCCTTGCCGTCCCTTCTAAAATAAAATAAAAGGAGCAATATACCCTCTTCTAATTTTTTTTTTTCATATCTACTGTTAATATTAAATAACTATATAAAATATTATGTCAAATATAGAGTTCAAAAATATCATATTGATTCTTTACGGACATGCCAAATGAATATGCAGTAATGTAAATTTTAATTAATAATATGATGATAACATCCCTCGTGGCCTTTATTATTATGAAACTTGTTTTGTTAGAGATCTTTTTTTTTTTTTTTTTGTAACAATGGTAAGGCATCAAAAGCCGGCCGTGGGATTTGAATACATCATAAATAAAATAGTTTATGCATAAGAGAGGAAATAATTAACCACTAAAAAGTAAAAACCATCAAAAGGTCAACCATAATAATAATTTTAAGAAAAAATGCGACTATCAAACGTAAGATTGTAGATGAATTATAACAATCATCAATGCTGAAGTATCTAGGTCTCAATGAATTAGCTATTGGTATAAATGCTTTCTAGAGTAACCCCTTTATTTATTATCTTGCTTTTTATCGTTCCTGTTAATTTTCATTAGTATGAATTTAGGAATAATGAAGAATTATTTTTTAATTATATCAACCAAATCGATTCGAAAGGTAGAAATCAACAAAAGAAAAGGTAAGTGGACATGACCTATTGAATCATGAGTTTAAGTTTTGTGCATCGTCAGTGTACAAATTTTTTTACACCATCAATTACTTTTAATGAGATTTAACCATAGTATTAATAAAATAACATTTACTAAAAAAAAACATCAACAAGGTAGTTGAATCAGACTTGGATTCTAACCAAAATTATTTTCATAACTAAATTATTTTCTTCCAAAGTACGTCGCTTTCTTCTCAGGGAACTTCAACTCCTATATTTTGCTCATCTACGTTTACCTTTTCCATTAATCTTGCAAAATACAATTATAAATGTTAGATAGCTTACAATTAATTATAAATCTGATCATATAAATAGTCAACACGTTTACTGTAAAATATATTTAATATTAGTGAAAGTTCAATAAATAAACTCCTTCCTAATAATCTAAAGAGCAGAGCTTAAGTATTGAGGACAATATGAAGACACTTTAAGGTAGGGAAAATACATCATTATCCCATTCAACTATAACACTTTTTCTAAAAAGACACTGAAACTTTGAAATGGTCCTAATACCCCCTTATTCTTGTTCAAAGTGGATTTATCACCCCCTTATGATCCTATGTGGCACATGGAGTGTAATTCACTCGCCACTAGCGAGTGAGACAAAGTAAAAGAAACATTATTTATTTATTTTAATATTTATTCAATTAAAATATTATTTCCTTTTACTTTATTGGTTTTATGTTTTTTTTTTTAATTTTGTACCGTCCTTCATCTACTCTTACCCAGAAGAGTTCTCGGACTCATTTTTAGCTGAGGGAGATCTAATAAATGAGATTATTGACAGAGAAATAGATGAAAGTGGAGTGAGGTTGCGGAGGAAGGTCGGAAAGGGCCGGTGAGAGAAGCATCGAAGATTTGACGACGACGGAGAGAGAATCGTCGGGGTCACGTTCAAACCCAGTAAAAAATACCCTATCTGAGTTATAGAGAATTTCAGTCTTTGTAGATACAACAAATGTTGATTTTGAGCAAACATTAAAAGCGAAGTACACAAAAATGATTGAACGATCGAAGAAGAAGCGAGATTTGATAGTGTTTTTTATTTTTCAATTGTATTTTTTATTTGCTAGAGAAAATGGTTGAGATGGTGTTAAAGTGTGGTGGGTGGTGGCTATGGTGGAGAATCGTTGGCAGCGTGAAAGAAGAGGTCACCAGCAACAGTTGAACATTGAAAAAGAAGAAGAATAGAGATTTTTTTATTTTTTTAGAAAACAAAATAGAATAAGAAATAACATTAACATATATGAAAATTAAAATTAAAATTAAAATTAAAATTAAAATATAAAAATAAAATAATTGACACGTGGTAAGTATCAGTTGGTGCATGTATTCACTTTCCTTCTTAAACTTGGGGTTGACCGAAAAATGGGACACTTTTACCACTTTTAAATTGTTTAAGGGGTTACTAGGACCTTTACAAAGTTCAAGTGTCTTTTTAAAAAAAAGTGTTATAGTTGAATGGGGTAATGATGTATTTTCTCCTTTAAGGTACAATATTCACCTTTCAGGAGACTATGTTCACTTGTTTTTAGTGCATTGAAATTCTTCTGCTCGTGAAGATATGTTTAAAAGGGCCATTTTTATGTTTCTAAATGAGAAAAATGTGAAATTTGTTCTAATTGCATGACGATAAATCACTAAGTAGAAGAAGCGTGTCAAGTTTCAAAATTATTTGACACTTTAAAATTAAAATTATTTCTTACCGGTTGTCGGTTGACAATGTTTGATGTTGTGAAAAAGTTTGATGTTGTGAAGAATTACTTGAGCTATAGAAAAAAGTGAAAAACCTACGATAAGCATAGTAATTGTAATTAACTTTGAAAAAAAAATTTAATTATGGAAATAATTTTGGTTAGAATCCAAGTATGATTCAACTACCCGTTGATGTTCTTTTTTTTTAGTAAATTGTTGATTTTATTTTTTCATGAATTATGGTTATTTTATTAAAGTAAGTTACTATGGTTAAATCTCATTAAAAGGAACTGATGATGGTGTAGAAAATTTTTTACACCGACGATGCACAAAATAATTCTTTTCTATGAGATAAGAAGGGTAGTAGCACAAAATTTACTTCTAAGGAATTGCCCCATAGATCCTATATATATATATATATATATATATATATATATATATATATATATATAAGAAGAATTCACGTAACGAAGGAGATTCTTATTTGTACAAATGATACTTTGAGTTTGGAACGAGCATGAAGAGATTAACGATACTTCTTTAATTAGTTGAAAAGAAATTATTAAAATAAATCAATTATAAATTAGTAGTAACTAATGATTTCGCATCTACAAAAGCTAGAAAACTAAATTTAAAATATGATGAAAAATAAAATATTAGGGCCCCACTCTTAAGTTTCGCTTTAGGCCTTCAATCTTATTGAGTCGGCCCTGGCCCTGGCCCGGATCATATGTTAGTAAAATTATTTATTTATTTTGTGAATTTATTTCATTATAGAATATTATTAACTTACATACTTAATTATTAGTATTTCTCACTTTTCTTTCCTCTTGAAAATAATATTTATTCTTTCTATTGAGAATTCATTACATAAATTAAAAACAAAAAAAATATCATGATGTTAAAGAAGTAAAATATAAAAAAGACAAACGCCAATAATGTAAGGAAAATATCGACATTTTAAAAAGCCGACTTAGAATAATGGAGAGAAAATTTTAACTATTCAAAATTGGAGGAAGAAGTTTAATTTATTAAGTAAAGTTGGAGGCCGGATGCGATTTAGGCCCTATATAAAAATAAGCACAAAACACATCACACGTTAAAATATACAATTTAATAATCGGTAACATAATTGCTAGATTGTGTAATTGAAAATTTATTTCCTCATCTTCGATTCTGAAATTGGTAATCTTGGCTTGTTTTTTCTCATAGTCATAATATAACCTTCATTGTTTGTCTCATCATCATCAACATAGTCATTGTTCTCATTTTCATCAACATAATTAGTACTAGTACTAATATTCTTCACTATTTTGATATCTTTTTTCCTCTTTTCCACCACAATATTCTTAAGCCAATCCACCACTTCTAACATGCTTGGTCTATTTTCAGGATTTCCATCAGTACATTTCATGGCAATCAAGATTGTGTTCTTCAATTGTTCACGATTGAACTTTCCTTTGAGCCTAGGGTCAGCAATATGATTAAAATCACCTTTTTGTATATATGGAAGAGCCCATTGCACAATGTCACGTTTGACACCATTAGGAAGTTTTTCTAAGGGTTTTCGAGCGCTTATGATTTCAAGAAGTAATATTCCAAAACTATAGACATCACAACTCTCAGAGACTTTTCCCCACATAGCGTATTCGGGAGCTAAGTAGCCTAGGGTTCCTTTAACCCTTGTTGTTAGATGTGTAACACCATCAGGTATCAACTTAGCAAATCCAAAATCTGCCACTTTTGCTTGGAAATTTGAATCTAAAAGGACATTGCTTGCCTTTATATCTCTATGTATGATATGAGGATTTGCTTCATGGTGCAAGTAACTACAAAAATAAAATTAAAATTAATTAGATAGTTGAGAAGAATTATAAGCGGCACTACAAAAAAAAAGTATGATTCTCAGTAAAGACGTGTATATGACAACTTTCTGGGTCATCAATTAACGGATATAGAGTCGAAGTTTTTATTAAAAATATAATATGTATAAAAGTAAACACGCAAAAATTATCAAGAGAGACTTCAACATATAACAATATACATAAAGTATTATTTTTATCTATCTACTCAAATATAATTTTCCAGCAAAGGGCATCAATTGACACCCTTTTGGCCAGCTTGCCATGAAAAACAAGAAGCTAAAAAATAAAAAGAGTTTTCGATAGAAAAAGAGGCCGGCAATAGAAGTATTCAGATAATTAATTCAAATTCAGCATATATAATAACTAGAGAGTCGAATAGATTTTTATGGATATACAAAACGAATATACGTGTTATCATCTAGACTCTAGTACTATTATATACTCATCCAAGTTTCAATTTGTTTTTGTCTACTACTTTTTCAAACTATATTCATGAAATTAATATTTAAGATCATAAAATTAAAAGACAATTTGGTATATTCTATGTATCTTTGTTTCAAGTCAAAATCAGACAAATAAACTAAGATCGAAGGGGTTAAGATTTGAATGCAAGTGCTTACCATAATCCATCGGCAGATCCAATAGCAATTTTCATTCTTCGTGGCCAATCAAGAAGACAATCAGCAGAAAGTGTGCCATGGAGATGAGTGATTAAGCTATGATTAGGCATATAATCATAAACAATAAGCCTTTCATCCTCACCAGCATAAAATCCTCTAAGACCTAATAAATTTTTATGTCTCACCCTTCCAAGTATTTCCACTTCAATTGCAAATTCCATTTCTGCTTTCGCACTCATTGCCTTTAGCCTTTTAACTGCTATCTAAACAATTAAACAAAAAAAAAAAAAAAATTCTCAATCCAAGAAAAAAAAACATGTAATTAGTTATGAACTTCATCGCTAATCTGTCATGAAAATTACTCATAGCTAGTATAATTTTAATGATAGTAATATGTAGCTAAAGAGAATTAGTGACGGATTTTGTTGTTTAACTATGTGAAGTAGAAAAGATAGAGTTGATTGCCTCGATGCCTTTACTTGTTCGACCCCAATAAACACTTCCAAACCCTCCTTCACCAATCTTGTTATCATTATGGAAGTTGTTTGTAGCGTTAACAAGCTCTTTTAATGTGTAAATATCCCATGGATAATCCCTGTTCTTGATCTGACCACTGAATAATTTCATCACAAACAAAAAAGAAATATTTAAAATTAATTAAGCATATACATAAACATATATATGTTAATTAAAATTATTCGATGATATACCTGATTTCTAGTTTTTGATCACCACCAAAACAATTAAAACATCTCTTAAACATTATTGTTTTTGGGAGAGAAAGGAGCACAAATTAAAGGAATTATAATAGAAGAGGAACCAGCAAGAAAATGGTAGATAAATGTTGAATATATCAATGCAAATTAATGGAATGAGTCGTACGTACAAGAGAGACAAAATGGCATCCTTGGAAGTCAAGGACTTGATTTTAATTAAATTATTTGAGCATGATGTTACATATATATTATTTTATTTTATTAGATTAAAAAAACACTCAAATTTAAGGGTTTTATTGTGTATTGGATCTTCAAGAAGTATATATAGGGTGTGTTTGGTATAACGAGTTTCTTTAAATGTGGAATGATTTTCCGAGAGAAAACAAGTTTTATAAATAACTTTTGAAGTTTATTGTTTCCTTCTTACTGATCATTCAACGTCCCCAACCCCATCTCTTGACCATTTCACTTCCTACACCCCCGAACTCTCACTTCCCAACCCATCTCAATTCTCAACATAAGAATATTTTGCTAGTTTATATATACATGCTTAGTGGATATTATTTTTTATTTTTTACTTAGTTATCAAACATTAGACAATAAGTAAGAAACACACTAATTTTCAAAAAAAAATATTTTCTAATAAAACATTTTCATTCCAGCAAAATAGTTTTATGCCATTTGATGAAATCAATTGATCGAAATATTTATTGCGATATCTGAATTTTGCTTCACATATTAAAACAATAAAACTACCTGCCTTTCAAAAGATTGTCATGCCGCCCAAATTTGCTTCAAAAGTAATTACCAACAATATTTAGTGTAATTTTATAAATAGATCCGGAAAAAACAAACTTTTTACGCTTCAAAAGTTAGCATAAAAAACAAATCTCAACTGGAAAATGAAGTTCTTTAATGACTTACTTTAGTGTTCCTCACTTTATTGTATTATTTAACATAAAAATGAATGTAAATTGTCATTTCTCTTGAACATGATCTCTTTGTCCACTTTATATTGTAAATACTATCACGCGACAAGTCAAACTTATTTATGTTTTGATTGTAATGTAAAAAGTGATAATTATTTTGACTCTTATAATAATTAAAATTCATTCATGGGAAAATTACGCAATTAAGCAAACTAATACTAGTTAATTACTCATCATAGTTATAGTTTGCTATAATTATCACTCGCGACTAACATTATACATTAATTACGTGGGCGGACTTCGATTTTGTATAATTAGTCACGTTTGTATATGTATAATTCGCCAAAATATACAAATACATATGTATAATACACAATTATCTAACCGATATACATATACAATTCACCTCTCTCCCACTCTTTGCCCTCTCTCTCCCGCCTCTGTCCTCCCTCTCCCAATCTCGCTCGCCTCGCTCTTCCCTCTCCCAATCTCGCTTGCTATATATACAAATGCATATGTATAATATGCATTTATCTAACCGATATACATATACAATTCACCTCTCTCGCCCGCCTCTCTCCTCCCTCTCCCAATCTCGCTCGCCTCTCTCCTTCCTCTCCCAATCTCGATCGCATCTCTCCTCCCTCTCCCAATCTCGTTTGCCATATATACAAATACATATGTATAATATACAATTATCTAACCAATATACATATACAATTCACCTATTTCTCACTCTTTGCCCTCTCTCTCTCTCGCCTCTCCCCTCTCTCTCTCAATCTCGCTCGCCTCTCTCCTCCCTATATCATGTAGCTACAAATTATAATTATCAAACTATAGCTATGGAGAGTAATTAGGCTATTTTTGAGTGGCTATATGTGAAAGTTCCTCAAATATAAACCCATCCTCTTCATGGTACTGGGCCTTCAGTTGGAGCCTGAATGGGCCTCCACTGAAGTATGGGTACTGGCGTAAAGTATTGAAAAGGCCTGCCAGGCCTGCCTGTTAACAAATGCCTAGGTACAGCCCAAATGGAATGTGGGTTGTACAACTAATAAAGGAGGCCTACGATTAGGTCAATAGTTACTAGTCAACTAAAAATAATTGTTCAAATTATGCAAAATGTCCGTCCATAAAATTTATTTGTCATCGTTTTAGCCTAATTTATAAAATTTACTTAAACTGGTCATTCGACCTAATTTATAAAATTTACTTCAATTTTGGAACTGCTTAGATGTGATTTGAGTTGATCGAGATTAAATAATACTTCATGTATAGTTAGTTTGTATATATATAAAAAAAATTTATATCCACTCTTTTGAGTATATCATATATAATGTACCGTCAATTTATAGCTTATGTATAAATAGATGTATTGTATAGTCAATGTATATTTTCGATAATTTTTGGCAAGCTATTTTGTATAAACAATGTATACTTTCTATAATTGTTTAAATTAAGGGCAAATTACAGAAATCACATACTTTTAAGGAAAAATTACAATTTATCCCTTAAAAGTTTATAATTACAAAAATCCCTCATTTTCGCGCATCAGATTAATGTATCAACGCTTATATTATTGTATCTCGCGCATCAGATTAATGTATCATCGCTTATATTATTGTATCTCACGCATCAGATTAATGTATCAGCGATTATATTATTGTATCTCGCACATGTATCAGCACTTATATAGCTCTGATACATTAATCTGATGCGCGAGATACAATAATATAAGCGCTGATACATTAATCTGATGCGCGAGATACAATAATATAAGCGTTGATACACTAATCTGATGAGCGAAAATGAGGGATTTTTGAGATTTGTAAAACTTATAAGGGATAATGGTAATAAGTAAACTAAAAGGTGAAATTTCTATAATTTTTCCTTAAATGAACCCAAAATAAATTGAGAAAATGACATGGTCTGGCTAGTAAAAAACATATTAATAAGTAGTTGGAATTATAAGTAGAAATAGTGTTGCAATGGAAGCACTTTATTTTTCACTTCTGTCAATTTTGATCAAACGTAAATAATGGAGTTAGAATTTGAAATTTATAGGTTTTGAATTTACTACCACATACGTAACGCATTTTAGTTACTGAATTTGTAATAAAATATTTAGACATATTTTATTAATATGTATATACATACTTGATCTAAGTAAGTATTCCTAAGTTCATCCGAACCTGTATGTAATACACGGCCTCTGCTCTTGCCTGTTGCTTTCCTATGGGAGTATTAACACATTTATATTTCACAAAATTAATGTTTAATTCATCTAAACCCCCCCCCCCCCCCCCTAAAAATTCATCCTCGGCATAAAACCAACATAAATTTGAATAAAGCAAATGGACATATCCCTGTCCTTTTTTTTCTTGGTGTTTGTAATCTGCATTTGAGTTTTAATGAAATTCGAATCACCAATTGCAGGGCTTATTCAAGGGTAGCACTTACAATAAGATTTTCTCTATATTTAAGGTTTGAATTCAAAATCTCTGATTAAAAATAGAATAATCTCGCTACTGCACCACAACCCATATCGTATCCCTATTCCTTTCTGATCCTTCAATTGAGTGGTTGATAATTTGAATTTTTTTTCTTTAAAAGAAACAAGTGAGGACCACAATCGACTTGTCAATTGATAAGAGAGACTCACATAACAAATGCTATGTGAGATATAAAATAAAATTTCTCGCATTTATCAAGCCATACGTGAATGATTGTTACGTGTCAAGCGTAAGTTCATTTTACACTATCCTTTTTTGGTCTATATATTAAAATATTTGGTTAGGTTAAATATAAACAAAAGCTAAGATATGATTGATTATTGTTGAAAAGTTCATTTTTTCATGTAATTGTTATGACTTGTCACGTTATCGAACGTGAAAAGAAAAAAAGATCAGATTCGATTTTCTTGAAAAACGTAACGGAAGGAACAAGGTTAAGGAGAGGAGAGTCATGTTTCATTAAGGACCAACTATAACAATAATAATATGGATGGCATACTTTTACAATTGAGATTTAAAGAAAGTCATATATATATATTTGTTTTATTTTATTAAAATAGAGAAATTATTGTCAATATACCGTTAGCTCAATATATAGAATGAAAAAAATCCAAAGACACACCTACTCAAAGTCATAATGAACCAATGTATGTTTTCTTAATTGAGAGCTTTTAGTTTATTGTGAAGATCGTGAAATTTTGTATGAATTTAAAACTGTTAAATTAGGTCTTAGGCCTAACTCACACCCCAAAAGCTAGCTCAAAGGGAGGAGGATTGCCCAAGCCTTATAAGGAGTCCACCCATCTCATTAACCACCGATGTGGGACTTTTGTCATTCTTTAACACCCCACCTCACGCCCAGTGCTTAGCATCTGGTGCGTGGGCATTTTGATTTTGGGGGTCCCAACATCGGGTGAGACGGGCCCTGCTCTGATACCATGTTAAATTAGGTCTTAGGCCTAACTCACACCCCAAAAGCTAGCTCAAAGGGAGGAGGATTGCCCAAGCCTTATAAGGAGTCCACCCATCTCATTAACCACCGATGTGGGACTTTTGTCATTCTTTAACAAAAACGTTAAATTGTTGAATATTATTCACAATCTACATATAGAAGTTGAAATTCCTAACATTTCAATATCCTGGACGTTTGCATAATCAAAATCTCTATTACATCATCAAAAGAATGTCACTACATCAAAAATAACTTT